TCGATTTAAAAGACAAAGTTTTCGACCCCGGTTATCGTCTTTAGAACATACGCAACCTTGTTGGTTGTTTGGTTTAAGGTATCGAAAATTTGATGGCTTGAACGACGGATTAAAATTACCAGTTCTGAAGATATCTCAATTCTTCGGAAATACTTAACTGGAAATAAAGCGCCAGATAAAAAATAAATGCAACATGTAAACCAGAATGGTTCGCAGCTCTATGTAAAAGAGACTGCAAAGTATGGCCTCGAAAAACTGCTCGTACTGTTTCCATGAAGAAGGGGTCTCTTTTGATGCTGAAATATCGAAAATAGTTCTAAAGACTTACTTCAAAACATGCCTGCAAGACATTCTCGCAAAACACTCGTGCTTAAGACATCTTACCTCACTAATTTAAGTGATCTTCCAGTTATGACCTATACTTCATTTCCAAACTGTTTGAACAAACTTAACAGAAAGAGTCAAAAGTTCAGTACCGAACAGTAACAGAACTCCGAAAGAGAAAAAATGGATTTCATCGATGATTCCATTCAAACAATAAAATATTCGACACAAACCCTGGTCGAAAAAGGAGGGCTTGGTTTTTGTAAAGCTTAGTGATATAAATACAGCAACGTTAGCATCTCATTCATGCTCCTGAGAATGCGGACTCCTTCAGCAGTCGAAAGTTTCTCTGCCAATGCTATATATCCGCTGAAAAACTGTATCGCTGCGTAAAGTCAGCCGATGATACATCATCAGAGAGGGAAAAGAAGGATTTCAGAGGAAACATAGTTAGCTAGAGAAGGAGAAGAGGATCAGAAGACATAGGACCGACAGTGGATTACGCCTTTCTTTCGAAGCTTATTAGAGGGAAACTAACTGATGACTTCGAGACCTTCCGATCACAAAAATTAGAAAAACAGCCGAAGACTACAGGAGTTTCAGGTGATGCAGGAAAGATTTGGCGCTTTCTCAGTCAACTATCAATGCACTGGTATTTTTAGAATGGGAATGGGGCATTGACGTCTAACAGAACTGAGATGAAGCCTATCTGCAAGAACTCTTAGACCCAGTTCTTTTCGGCATGCATTTGCTCACCATC